GGACACTGTGTTACCAGAGTCTTCATGGAATCCACCAATGGAGCTCTGAAAGGGAAGCTCTCAGGCTGTCACGCAAGTGTGACAGCCAGCGCAGCAGCTCTCAGATTTGCAGGATTAGCTTTAATTTCACCTGTACTGCCTCAGCATTCAGCCTTTAATGTCAGCAAGAAGTTTATTGTGCAACACTTAAGTGCATTGTTGGATATGTCAGTCTCAGAAGAACTGGGGATTCAGCAGCCAAGTAAGAGACAAATGAGTTTTTGTTTGGGGTTTTTTCCCAACAAAGTGATGTCGCAATTAGTTTAAGATGGCAGGATAAGAACATCTAAGATATTTAAACAGCAGTATTAGTATTTCAGCACTACTGTACCACTGAAATGAAGTTTACAGTCATCTTACCAATTGCTTCAGGCCATCTAGAAATAAAAGAAGCCAAGACAACATCTGTTCTGCACTGATGGTTGCAAAGATTATCTTAGCACATGACTTGTGTTAGAAACTTGAAAACTAGCCCAAGAGGCTATCACTATAGATGTTCCACAGCTGCAGAGCTTGCTGCCACCACCAGCAGAAGTATGCAAGCAGTTTCTTTTTTTGCATAAAATCTTTTGCTGGCCAGAAATCCTTCATTAGGAGCAAAAGTAATTAACATGAGTGAAATATTCTTGAAGCCAACTCAGAAGCTCAAGCAGTTAAAACACACTAAAACTATACAGAACAAGTTGTATCCTATAACTCTTTCTTGCTTAGAACAGGACCCACTGTTCTAATAGTGATGTACCGTAATTTTTAATACTTCTCCACACAAGAATAAATCCTGTTCCTAAGCGCAGCTGCATAATTTATTAAAAAAGCAAGTCCGATCAGCTTCTTTGATACTTTGCAAGGGAATTGGCTGTTTAACATAAAAGGTCCAAGTATGAACACGAAAAGGGAGCAAAATCATTACTACAGTTTTATATACAACTACAGCTTCTACTTAGGCAAGAACAACTATCACTGAGACAGAACAGAATCAACTCCAAACAAAAACTATGAATAACAAACCCGTCCTGTTGGGCGATGCTTTTTTAGGCACTTGCCTTGAGTACTCATTCCTTCACTAGAACGCTTCCTCTGTTACTCATCAGTTTAGATTGTTGCAATGCAATGATCCAAGCTCAAAACAAGCACCAAAATTCAGTTACTGAAAACCCATTCTAAGTATCACTCTTTTAGATCTCCTTTATACACAGCCCTCTGCCTTGTATTTTTGTTTTACATTTTTCTCCAAATTTCTTCCTACCCTGAAGAAAACACACTATCCCTAATTTCAGTAGGGCATGCCTAGGACACCTGCTTTGCAGAGCCCTACCAGCAGTGTTTCTGTGAGGACACAACAGAATAGTTTCTTCAGCACGACTTGCCAGGCTGCTTACTCCTCCAGGGGAAATGGCAGCACTGCAAGAGCCTTTGAAGCCTTTTTTTTTTTTTTTTTTTAAACTAAGGTGCTCGTGTGAGGTTCTAATTAGTAACCAGCTGTAGACGGGAGTTCACACTGCTTCAGTTTAGGCTTTGAGACATGCAGGTACCTTCAGAGTTTCACTATTTACTGTCTTCCCTTTACAGCATCACCAGACTGAAGGTTCCCCTTATTTCAAGCCAGCATCATTTTATCATGGAGGGATATAGAGTTTCCATGCATAAAGCTAGGAAGAAATTTATAGCTACTGCTTTCCCTTCCCATTTCTTATTTCTCTTCAATCACTTAGGAGATACAGATCCTCCATATTCCACAAATTCCACCATTTTCCTATTCTAGTACTTGTTATCACTGCCGCTAATAGCTCTGCTACAAATGGAGCAAGTTCGCAATGGTCAGGAGTCAGACACAAAAAGTGGGGAGCCTACAGGAAACACAGCTCTATCTTTCTGAACTAGAAAGCCAAAGGTCACAATTCATTGTCCAGATGGGAAAAATAGAGCTTAGTGGCACAATCTATTTAATATGCCATGAGAGAGTGCTACCCAAATTCATCACACAGTAGGAGATGAAAAAGGCAGCACAGTCAAGCTCCCTGTATTTCCAAGCCAAGCTGTGGGGTCAAGGAGAAGAAATGACAAATCTTGGCTTGACACACAATTTCACATCTCATGCCAACAGAGAGAAAGAAGCATGCAGGAAGGGAATGTGAATAGAAAGTAAAGCCCCATTATCTTTTTCCACAAGGCAACATTCTTCAGACACAAATACACACATGCACAACAAGAGTAGAAGTGATCAAGCAATTGCCTAACAGAGCAAACACTTTCCTAGAGCTTGTCAAATAAAGAAGAAAATCACAATAGCCTTGGACTTCCAGGTTCTTTCTGGGGCATCCAAGACATTCAACTTCCTATGGGGATTTACGTGGGACAATTACTAACTGTCAGTACAGCAGATATACAAAAGCCAGATGTTCCCTACAGGTCACTGATGCTTTCCAAGCCTAAACTGATTCACATCCCTGCTCAGTTTTAATCTCAGAGGAAACACCAGGCTTTGAACAACATCTTCTGAGAGCCAGGGGTACTTCAGCAGGCCTGTGCCTGTATCAGCTACTCTTGTATCTTTGTCTCCAAACAGTTATCTCACTTCACCTGAAAGTTTGCTCCCACACTGGCACAAGAATCTGCCTGTTTCTCTATGCTACCCTTAACTTTTCACCATTTTCAGCCTGGAAAAGAGGAGGCTGAGGGGAACCCTCATGACGGCCTACAGCTCCTCACAAGGGCAGCGCTGATCTCCACTCTCTGAAAAAATGGCATGGAGCTGTGTCAGAGAAGAGTCAGGTAGGTATTAGGTTAAGTTCTCTACCAGAGTTGTGGGCATGGGACAGGCTTCCCAGAGCAGTGGGCATGGCCCTGTGGCAACACTCTCAGACATAGGGTTTGAATTCCAGGTGGTGCTGCATGGAGCTAGGAGTTGGACTCAGTGACCCTCATGGGTCCCCTTCCAACCCAGGGCATTCTATGAGCAGGTCATACTTCTCTACTTACACATTCAGTGACTCTGCTGGTTGCCCAGGTTAGCAGAACAATGCTGTAGTAAAGGGGAAATGCAAGGAGAAAGATCAATAACTTGTTTCAAGCATCACTGCTGCTCATTTAAACTGAGAAGAGTTGGATTACATAAACAGTTCCCTTTTTTTGCATCAAATTTTTTGCTGGCCAGTACTTCCCCTGCTGTTTACCTTTAAAAGCATTTGAGCTTGCATGCACTGTAGTTTTAGTGCTTACTGTACAAAAAAAGAAACGACATGAACATGTAAATATCACTTCTAGCACTTGAACACCTCCAGGATTAGATGCCAGGACTGCAACACTAACCCCAGCTGCCAGGGAGGGTTCCTGAGGGGACTATAGCCCTAATTGCAAGTCCTTATGAGAAACAGTGGTGTAACTCTTGATAGTCATCATAAAATAAAAACAATAATAATAAAAATTCAGAACTTTCTTATGTGCACAGGAATCTATAGTAGAGAACCTTTACACTGGGTAACAGTTTCACAGGCAACGTCTAATCACAAGAAGAGATTAAGCCCAGGGATCTATCAACATGGTTGCAAATGAGTGTGTCAAATTGCATGCTCATAAACAGAACACTTGGCAGAATGAAAAGAGGCTTCACACACAGAGCATCTTGGAAGTCCAGAGCTTTCCACTACAGAGCTCTGAAGTTAAAACTTAAAGGCAGATCTTACTGCAGAACCACAGACAGTGGTGCTCACTTCAGCCAATCTCCTTCCCCTCAGTCACAAAGGAGGGAAGAGCAAAGTCAGTCCATCATTTCAAGCAACAAGTAAATCAGAAGTCCTTTGTATTTGGAGCCGTATTAAGAGAGCTGAAGTAGCTCCCATGCCAAAGATGACACAGCACATAGAGCACATGGAGCAATTAAACTGCCCTATAAAGCACAGTATGTAAAAGTAGCCTATAAGGAAACCATTTGATAGACAGGTTCACTGCAAAATCATGCACCACCAATTGGATTTTCTGTTTTGTTCTTTGTTTCAGTTGCTCTTCATTGAAGCATTCAGATACCAGTGTTATAAAGCGCTGGTTAAGGGCCCTAGTCACTCCTTCCTATCACCTCAAAGCTTCTTAAATGTGGCTCTGCTCCAGCCTCAAGGTTTAGGTTTGCTATCAGGTAATAGAAATACGTGCACAAGCACCCCAGTGGTACCTCATCCTTCAAAACAGGTCCCTGAGGAATTACGGCACACACTAAATCTAATCTGCCACTTCCTAACAGCTGCTGTTACACATCTGGCCATAAAAGACGCTATAGCTGAACACCGGGACGGCACCGCAGCCAGCATGCTTTCTGCGGTCCTGAGAAGCACATAACTGCCCTCATGGTCAAACAGCAGCTCTAACAAACTAGAGTACTGTGCTCAAATCCCTTATTGTTATATTCTGTCTGAGTAGGGATTCCAAAGCCTTCTGATCTTGCTTAACCATGGTAAAAGTTAATTAAGTACTGCATTTCATAACACTTCAAACTGATGGGTCAAGAATGCACACGGCCAGTGCATCCAACACGCCTGCAGAGAGATCGAGTTTTTCCACTTACCCAGAACTATGTCCTTATTGCAGCCTTGGCTGAAGAACAGCTACTGGTGTGCAGCTCTAACGGAGAGCTCTCCCGCTACCCCAGCGCGGTGCTGCGGTGGTAGTGCACTGGGAGGACCATATTTAGAAAAGATGCTGGGTTTCTCCCCCAGAGCAGTGTAATTGTACGCTAAGTGAAATTAACAGCCCCAGCAAGAGGCAGACGTTGTCAGATTAAAAAAAAACAGAGCTAGACTCCTACAGGGAGCAGTCTGGGCCGAAGGCATCTAGCTTTATTGCTGGGATTCATTTAATCCCTTCTTGGGAACGTAATGAAAAAGTCCCGAAGCTACGCGCTGGGAGCGCTAACCGCGGGACGGGCGGCATAAAGCTCAGCCCGCTCACGCCTCCCTCCCTCCCGCACCCACCCGACGGTCACACCGACGGCCGCACCCCGGCCGGTACCCAACCGACAGCGGAGGCCCCCGAGGCTGCGCGCCGGACGCGGGACCCGCCGCGGGGCTCCACCTGCGGCGCTGCCGGTGTCGGAGGGAGCGGGGCGGCTCACTTACCCTGGGCCCCGCGGCCCGGTGGCCGCCACCCTGGGGCAGATGCGCCAGCAGCAGCGCCAGCAGGAACGGGCGAGCCACCGCGCCGCGCCAGGCCCGGGGCGGCATCGTCCCTCGGGGCGGGCGACGGAGGTGCGGCGGCGGCGCGGCGGAGCTCGGCGGCCACCGCAGGCTGCTCTCCCGGGCGGCCGCCCCTGGGCTCAGCGGCGGCGTGTCCGTGGGCGGCGGGCGGTACCCCGGGTCGGCTCTGCCCCTCCCGGCGCGGCAGGTTACCCGCCTCGGCCATGGGGATGCCCGTTATAAAGCCGCGGCGGGGCGGGGCCGGCCGGCACGGAGCGGGGCGCGCGCCCATCGCAGCGCAGCCGCCGCGGGCCGGAGCCAATGGCGGGGCGGCGGGGCTCCGCGCTCCGCCCTGCTGCGGGCGCGAGGCGGGCGGTGCAGGTTGGCCCCGGGCGGCGCGGAGCTGGAGCCGGGGGCGGCACCTGAGGCTCAGCGCTGCAGCCGAGGCAGCCCCGCGCGGGCACCGGCAGCGGAGGAGCGGCGAGTCTCTCTTCCGCTCACCGGCCGCTGGCTCCACTCTCAGCTTACGGCTGCCGGGGAATCACAGAATCGTAGGGACCTCTGGAGGTCACCCAGTCCAACCCCTGCGTGCTAAAGTGGGTACCCTACAGCAGGTCTCACAGGACAGCGCCCAGGCGAGTTTTGAATATCTCCAGAGGAGGAGACCACAACCTCTCTGGGCAGCCTGATCCCACGCTCTAAACCTTCACAGTATAATTGTTTGTTTTTACTCGGGTTCATACGAAATTTCCTGTGCTCCAGCTTGTGCCCATCACTCCTTGTCCTGTCCGTGGGCACCACCAAAAAGAACCCGGCCCCATCCTCTTGACTTCTGCCCATTAGATATCCGTAAGCATTGATAAGATCCCCTCCCTCTCAGCCTTGTCTTCTCCCAGCTGAATGGTCCCAGCTCTCAGCATTTCCTCGTAAGGGAGATGCTCCAAGCCCCTCATCATCTTTATGACCCACTGCTGGACTTCGTAGAAGTTCCCCCTCTCTCTCATACTGGGGAGCCCAGAACTGGACACAGCACTCCAGGTGTGGCCTCACCAGGTCAGAGAAGAGAACTTATCTGCTAGGATTCAGGGCATGACTCACCCATAGACAAGGCAACCTGCCCCTGAAAAGCCTCACTGCTTTCCCAAGCACAGCAACACCAGACCACACTCACCACTGCTCCACATTGCTTAGGACCACCTATAGGCCTTATGCAGAAGGCGACGTGATCCAGCTTTCAGTTACACACCTTATACCTAGAAAACTATCCTAAGGTCAGTTCTGGTGTCTCTCAAGACAACAAGCCCCTTCAGACTGTATGTGGGACTCTGTGTCCCTGCCCAGCCAGGAACTCAATGGGAAGCATGGGTGCTGCATCACATAACAGCACATAGGTGCAGCCCTGGGGTAGGACCAGGGAAAATGGAGCTGCATCTGCAGGCAAGACCTGGGCAAAAATAGGAGTTGCCTGAAGAGGCTGGATCCTGCCCTCAATGCAAGTCTGATGGATCAGCTGATGAGAGAAGCAGTGCTGTGGCAGTGCAATGGAATCCTGCTGTACTTGAAGACATGCTATGGAAACTGGCTGTATTTGGAGACCCTGGGCAGTGGTGGAGGACAGTGCCAAGCCCCTGTCCATCTGCCAGCTGAGGGACAGATATTCCTCAGGAACCCCTGCATTTGCATCCAGTCCTTCATTTTTAAATGACAAGCGTGGGTTTGGTTGCAGGCATTTCATATATTAATGTACATGAGAGGCCATTGCTGTGCACATAGCAGTGATAATAGCTTTTGGTGGGACAGTCTTCTCCTGCTCTTTTGGAAACACATGTTGGAGACATGTAGTTTCTTCATACAACATATTTAGTTTTCCTTACTCAATGGCCATACCAGAGCCAATACTTACACTTGTAAAAATTCCCTAGAGTGTATCCGCTAGGTATGGGGAGGGGCTGCTACACCCACACCAAGAACCTCGTTACACAGTAAAAGTCATATAATTCTGGCATCTTATCAGAGCAAAGCAGAGTGTTTAGCTACAGCGGTTGCTTTAATCTTTCCTTTTTTTTTTTTTTAAATATGTATTTTAAAATGTCAGTACGCAACATTTTGTCACTAGCCTAGGCAGGATAAGTCGTTTGTTACTCACACGGATCTCTGCCAGTATTCATTATTCTTGGCTTGCTGATCTCTCTGGAGCTGCAAACACAGCGCCCCACACAAGCCTACCGGTGTACTTTAGTCCTAGCCCTCACCACTCTCTGCTCTCCGGGTCCAAAACTTTGCCAGCTCTGCTTCAGCATGGCCTGCGGTATCCTCTGATTTTCCATTTCAAAGTCTCTCTGATGCACATCTGAAATTCTGCCATTCCACATGACATGAACAGAGACTTTGAGGGGAAGAGGTGGAGGAGAGCTGGGAAATCTGAGTGTCCTCATGGACAAGTTATACCACTGCACACCTGGCACCTGTGGAAAGAGGCAGAATCCAGCATAGTTTTGTTGAGGTGGGGATCCAACCACAGCATCAAGTACTGCATCACCTCAGAGTTGAGTCTTGGTTAAATTCCAGTCCAAATAACAATATCTCACTTGCCTGCAACCCCCTCTCCAATTTATAGGGAGTTTTATTTGCATCTGATCTACTTGTGATGCCCTCATGTATTCTTTACTACTTGCAATTTAAATCTGGCTGTATTTCTTTGGTATACTTTCCACAGATAAACACATGGCCACCAGGACTTCTCTGCTAAATAAATGCTCATTATCTTAATGAAAAGAAGTTATAGTTCTCCTGATTTCTAATAGAGAGTGCCAGCCACACTGGACACCTAGGTTTCAGTGCCTGCACAGCCTTGACGACAGCCATGTCAAACAGCTAGTAGGAGTTGCAGAGAGGGCCAGAAATCCCCAGGATATCCCCCAGTAACTGAATGCTTTGACGACTTTGTGGCCAAAGCTGTATATAACCACGAAGCATGCATCAGCCTTGAGAAATATTCCCATAACCAGCTGTTTCTCTATAAGGACACATATTTTCTCTGTGGAGAGTAACTGCATTAGTGCAAAAACTAGAGGTGAAGGGACTCCACAGCCTGGCTACACACCCATTAAATGTCACTCAGCAGTACTGAACCCAAGAGCCATCCAGGAGGACGTTCAGTCACATGTTAGAGGCACCATCAGAGAGAGTAACTCACTTTGTTCAGTGGTGAATCACATTAACTGCTGGAAATTAAGCTCTTCAGCTAACCTGGTATGTAGGATGTGCCTGCCTTGGCCACCAGTGGCATGGCAGAGATGCCATGCTGATGACCCCAGAGGAGGCTATTGTCCAAGCACTAGAGGCACTGAGTGCCTCAACTTCTCCCTGCCATCACCCTGAGGCTGCAGTGCCAAGCACTGTGCTGGCACAGTGCCACCTCAATCATGAGTGTCTCACCAGCAAAGAACTTGCCTAGGGTGATTAACTGAAAACTACAAAGAGAGAGGGGCACAGAATGAGAAGTTGTTCTTCATGTCCAGGCAACCAAGGGCCAGACCCAACATTCAGATGTTGCCGAGCCAGATGTGAGCCCAGCTGTAATGAATTCAGCTATGTGATGCTGCTGGAGGTAGCACTGAGACCGGTACCGTTGGGGCTTGTTGCATGCAGCAGATACAGCCTACAGCTTGCACTGCTGAAGATTTACCCCAGCACGTGCCCATATGTGTTGGTGATTAATATCTTGTTGCCATAGTGCACGCATATCACATGCGCTGCCATGAACCCATGGCACAAGATGTATATATTGGTGGTCTTGACAACTGTTCAGGGAGAAACGTTTGATCGCCACGATTATTTGCCTTTGCTTCTACACGTCTTGTCCTCGGACGAGGTTCAGAAGATTGCTGTCCTATTTTGAGTGGTATTGGCACCACAACAGAACTGTCACGGGATCTGCCTGCCACAGCTTCCATCAAAGAATATATCCTCTCCTGCAGAAGCTTAGCAGGAATGATTACTCACATTTTCAATAAAGAATGCATATGAACTAACTGCATTTAGGGAATCAAATTAATGCTACTGGTTCTATCCTAGGTTTACGGATGCTACAATCACTTCTACAGCAGACCTCAATTTAGCTCCTTTTTGTCAAAAAGTAGTAAATAGGAATATGAGGGATTTGCTGCGAGTCTGATCTGTTATTAGTTGTAACAATGCAGAATTTAGAGCTATATTTTTGTACATTGTTTGTATCAAATAGCCTGAGTAATAATATTGCAAGAATTGTCCATTCCTGCCAGGGCAGGATTGCTGAGACCCTGAAGCAGTGAAAGAGCCTTTTCTTTTACACTGAACCTCTGCAAATCTCCATAAGGGCAGCCTGGAGTAAAGACCGAAGAGCCACATTCGAGCACACCCATGAGCCTATGCAGGTTGGAATAGAAGCCACAAGATGACAGCCTGTGCAGTCAGCCTAAAATGAGGTAGGTTATTGTTTCCCCAGCTATCTCAATACAGGTTGAATATCAGGATAGTGGAAAAGACAGAATATGACCTTTAGGTATATGAATATGGAAATTATAAAAAAATAAAATAAAATTACTGGATTTGGAAGGACTCAAGTCCCAGCACAGGGAAGTGTTACAGTACCATCCCACTGTTAGCACGGCTGCTAACGGCACTACACCTTTTCAGACATAGAAGCACATTGCTGCTAACATGTCTTGGGGTGGACTTGCTGGATTATATCAACAACAACAACAAGAGTCTCAACTTCTTCTGAAAGCTAATTATCTGCGTGTTTGATTGTAACTGAAACCCTGTCAGTAAGCGCTCTGTTGGGCTTTTCATCCTTGAAACTCTTGGCAGAATACTCACTAATATTTGAACAAAGAGCTTTGCTAAAAATGTGACAAGATAGCAAGTATTTTTCCACGAAAGTCATCTAGAGTCCACTACTTTATTCATTATACTTTACATAGCAATTCTGTGTGGATCTTATCTCTGGAAAGTATATCAAATTGCATGAGTCCTGCCTGGAATTCTTTGATTTGCCAGCAAATAGC